ACTTTATTTATAATTTAATATTCTGAATTTTAGTTATGTGAGTATGCTGCCCCAGTTGAATTCAGTGATTTATGTTTTAGGAAAACTGCTACAAGTGAAGAATGGAAAGCATTTATTTTGGACTCCATGCGCTGCCCATTGCATAGATTTAATGCTTGAGGACATTGGGAAGTTACCCACAATTAAAACAACAATAATAAAAGGTATTTGTGTAGTGGGTTTCATCTACAACCATACCATTGCTCTCAACATGATGAGAAAGATCACCAACAAGATGGAATTGCTTAGACGTGGTATTACAAGGTTTAATTTGCTACGTCATTCCGATGATAAAAACACTAATGTTTACTTCCGATGATAAAAACACTAATGTTTCCAAAGATCAAAATGCAAAGAGAGTTCTGGACATAATTCTTAATCCTACATTCTGGAATGATGTTGTTTACATTCTGAAAGTGATGGGCCCTCTTGTACGCGTTCTAAGGCTGGCTGATCATGAAAAAAACCCGCAATGGGATACATTTATGAAGCAATGGATCATGCCAAGGAAGCAATTCAGGGTTCTTTTCAAGGGAATGAAAGGAGATACAAAAAAATATTTGAAATTATTGATTTAAGATGGGAAACTCAACTCCATCATCCCTTGCATGCTGATGGTCATTATTTGAACCCTTCTTTCTACTACAAGAACCCAATGATGGATCTGGACAATGAGGTTATGCAAGGGCTTTACGCGTGCATTGAGAGGCTTAGTGAAAATGAAGAAATTGAAGATAAAATATCGAGTGAGCTGAATGCTTATAAGAGAGCTGAAGGCCTCTTTGGATTGAAGCTGGCAGTAAGGCAAAGAGATACTCTTGGTCCAGGTAAGTTAAGGCATGTATTTTTTTATCACCTACCCTAATAGAATGTTTAATGTTTACTTGCATTTAAAAGTGAATGGTGGAGGAACTATGGATCACATACACCAAATCTTCAAATGCTTGCCATAAAGATCTTAAGTTTGACTTGTAGCTCCTCTGGATGTGAGCGCAATTGGAGTACATTTGAGCATGTACGTTATTAACTTATTATTACATGTTTTACAAGTTCAACAAACTGTTTATACAAACTGTTTTCAACAAACTGGAGGCTGGACTAACAGTTTTTTATATAAATTTGTAACTTAGATTCATTCGAAGAAGAGAAATAGGCTTGAGCATCAAAGGTTGCAAGATTTGGTTTATATTAAATATAACCAAGATCTTAAGGAGCGATTTGATAGCCGTGATTTGATTGATCCAATTCGCCTAAATGATATTGATGGTAGCAATGAGTGGTTAGTGGGAGTAATGGGGGGAGATGGAGAGGATGCCTAGGATGATTTGGTTTTTGATGATGACACCAACATTACTTGGGGAGATGTTGCTGACCTAACGGGTGTGTGTGAGCCTTTGATAAAACACTAGGCAGCAAAGCAGAATAAATGAAAGGGGTACAACTTCTAGAGGGGCTGCAAGCGCTAGAGGGGCTGCAAGCTCTAGAGTGAGAGACCACTCAATAGACTTTATGGAGCATGTTGAAGTGGCAGAGCAGACAAATGTGGAGGAAGAAATTTATGATTGCAGTAGTAGTGAAAATGACAATGAAGATGAGATAGAGTTGGAAGAAGAAGAATTTGATGAGGAGGAGTGGTGAATGATGAATTCAAAGGGCTTGCAAGTTGGATCTAAATTTTTTGACTATTAATATATCAAGGCTTAAACTCTTAAACTAGAACCTTGTTTTTTTATTCAAGATGTTTTAATCATTTATAGCATGATAACATCTTATATTTTGGTCATGAAACTGAAGACTTAAAAGAGTATTACTAAGTAATTTAGGATTTGGGAATGTTAAGACTTAAATGTTGAGAAATTCAGTCCCAATTAAGGATCTAGTCTCACTAAACATGATAAAATTCATATAATCAAACAATAAGAACACTAACCGGTTGAGGAGAAACCAAACTTTGATGACGAAGATGATGAAGCCATGATGTCGTTGGATTCTCTAAGGATACAAGCGGATTTGCGATGGATTGAACGATCTCCCTTGGGTCTCTTAATATAGGTGTTATTGAGACCTTTGGGAAGAAACACGTTCTTTCGTTTTAGTCGTAAGAGGAACGAACGAGCCTTATATCTTGTATCAAAGAGAAACCCCATTGGCCCCTTATGTATTATTTAATGTTAAAACATACCCATCATATGTTAACTGTACATAAATACAGGGACCAAATCTGTCATATGGCAAACTTAATGGTAAGACATAAATGTCCCCAATTTATATTAAATTATATAAATGGTCCAAGGACACTTAAATGGAATATTTTCCAACATTCTCCCACTTGACCTTGAGATCATTTATACAATTATACATAAGTTAAAGTATTAGTTGGCCAAGAAAAATTCATCTTACTCCATAATAATATCAAAGCAAACAAATACAGTCTAACGGGTCAATATAACCCGGGACCCCCATTAATCATACTTTGACACTTCTTAAAGAGGATAAGGATTAATATAAGCCAAATGACATTAAACTTAGGGTATTATGTTTGTCTATTAAAATAACTTTGTGTGCACAATGAAGAATAGACAAAACATACTGAGGGAGGAATTTTAAATCAAGTACTTGAAATTAATACATAAGATAGTTATTCAGGCACTGCGCTATAATTTCCTAAACAAGATCTTTCATCAAGCCCATATTAATGACATGTCTTTGAAAAATATTGGGCGAAAGTCCTTTAGTGAGAGGATCTGCTAGCATATTATTCGTGCTGATGTGTTCGATACAAATTTCGTTTTCCTCCACTCTTTCTCGAACGAACAAATACTTTGTATCGAGGAACAATCCCGCTCCACTCGAACTGTTATTGTTTGAGAAGCTCACGGCCGCGGAATTGTCACAATAAATCCTTAGCGGTCTTGAGACAGAATTTACTACTTTGAATCCTTTGATAAGATTCCTTAGCAACATCCCATGACACGTTGCGTTGTACACCGCAACATATTCAGCCATCATTGTTGAAGTAGTCGTAAGTCTTTGCTTGTGGCTTTTCCAAGATATTGGCCCACCTGACAGCAAGAAAATGTATCCCGAAGTAGACTTCCTATCATCTTTGCACTTAGCAAAGTCAGAATCGGAATATCCCACCACTTCTAAATTATTAGACCTCTGGTAAGTAAGTTTGTACTCTTTAGTTCCTTGAAGATACCGCAAAACTTTCTTAGCGGCTTTCCAATGATCTAATCCTGGGTTAGATTGATATCTACCCAACATGCCGGATACATACGCGATTTCTGGACGAGTACAAACTTGAGCATACATCAGGCTTCCAACTACAGAAGCATAAGGAATGAGTTTCATTTGCTCTTTCTCAACCTCGGTTTTTGGGCATTGGAATGACCCAAAAACGTCTCCCTTAACTACTGGAGCAACTGATGGAGAGCATTGTTGCATGTTAAAACGTTCTAAAATACGCTCAATGTATGCCTTTTGAGACAAACCTAACGTCCCTTTGACTCGATCTCGGTGAATTTCAATGCCTATAACATAAGAAGCTTCACCTAAATCTTTCATGTCAAAATGGCCAAATAATAAGCGTTTTGTTTCATGCAATAAATCCAGATCACTACTTGCTAATAAGATGTCATCAACATATAACACAAGTATGATGAATTTGCTCCCACTCATTTTGAGATAAGTGCATTGATCTACTTTGTTTTTAATGAAGCCATTTGATTTCATGACTTCATCAAATTTGAGGTACCATTGTCGAGACGCTTGCTTGAGCCCATAAATAGACTTCTTGAGTTTACACACTAGATGTTCTTGACCCTTAGAAACATAACCTTCTGGTTGTATCATATAAACATCTTCGTGTAAATCTCCATTTAAGAAGGCTGTTTTGACGTCCATTTGATGTAGCTCAAGATCAAAGTGAGCTACTAAAGCCATAACGACCCTTAAGGAGTCCTTTCGAGAGACAGGTGAAAAGGTCTCTTGATAATCTACACCTTCCCTTTGAGTATAGCCCTTAGCAACCAATCTTGCTTTGTATCTTTCAATGTTTCCGTTTGGATCTAATTTAGTTTTAAAAACCCACTTGCTTCCAACGGGCTTATGACCCTTTGGTAATTCAACAAGTTCCCAAACATTGTTCTTCTCCATGGAAAGAAGTTCTTCATTCATGGCTTCTTTCCAATGAATCGATTGGTCACAATTAATGGCATCATAAAAAGATATAGGATCTACGACTTTCCCTAAATCAAAGTCGGCTTCTTCATTTAAATATATCAAATATTCGTCAAAATTTGTGGGGCGTCTCACCCTTTGAGATCTCCTTAGGGATTGCTGATTTTCTGGAATTTCATTAGAAACAGGTGGAGTTGGTTCAACATTTATTGGAGTTTCATTCGCCTCTTGACTTGTTGCATCATTATTATGAGGCGTATGACTTTCACTATGATCTTCAAGTGAAGAGTTAGGTGGAATGGGCAGTATAATAAGTGGATTCATTCCAGCACCTTCTTGAAGTTCATCATTAATGTTTGAACCATTACTACTCCCACTAATGTTAGTATTCTCAAGGAATTCAGCATGTCGGGTCTCGACAATCCGGGTAGTATGAGATGGGCAATAGAACCTGTATCCCTTAGATCTCTCGGGATAACCAATAAAGGAACAACTAATAGTTCTCATGTCAAGTTTCTTCAATTGAGGATTATACACTTTTGCTTCGGCCGGACAACCCCACACTTTTAGGTACCGTAGACTAGGTTTCCTTCCCGTCCATAACTCATATGGAGTTTTAGGAACAGATTTAGATGGTACTCTATTCAATATGTGGGTTGCTGTTTTAAGGGCCTCGGTCCATAAAAATTGGGGAAGATTTGAGTTAGCCAACATACTTCGGACCATATCCATAAGAGTCCTATTTCGCCTTTCGGCAACCCCATTTTGTTGAGGGGTGCCGGGCATGGTATATTGGTTGATGATCCCGTGATCTTTACAAAATTCATGGAAAGAACCGGGAGCTTGACCAATATCGGTGTGTCGACCATAGAACTCACCACCCCTATCCGATCTCACTACTTTGATCTTTCGATCAAGTTGATTTTCAACTTCGGCTTTATAAGCCTTGAACATATCTAGTGATTCAGATTTTTCCTTAATCAAATATAGGTACATATAGCGTGAGTAATCATCTATGAAAGTAATAAAGGAGTTATGACCACTAATGGAATCGGGAAAAGGCCCACAAATATCCGTGTGTATTAATTCTAACAAACCAGTGCTTCGCGTGGCGCCTTTCTTAGTTTTCTTAGATAATTTCCCTTTCAAACACTTCACACATTTGTCATAATCTGAGAAGTCAAGATTTGGAAGAATGCCGTCTTTCATGAGTCTTATCATTCGATCTCGTGATATGTGGCCCAACCTTTGATGCCACAAATTGGACGACGATTCCAATTCTCTCTTTCTCTTGCAAGGATTTTCAGTTATATTAAATGACAATGGGGATTCCATAAAATTAGTGTCTAAGCATAACTTATAGAGGTTTCCCTCCATGCTACCAATTCCTATTACATTTGAGTTCAAGCTAATTGTCACTTTATTGTATACGAAATTAAATGTAAAACCGTCAGCACTTAGTTTCGATACAGACACTAAATTACGAGTAATATTAGGTACATAAAGAGCATCACGAAGATGAAGAATGAAGCCATTCTCTAAAATTAATGAGATAGTTCCAATGGCCTCCACTTCTAATTCTTCTCCGTTACCCACCTTAATCACTCTTTGCTTTCTTCCCAATGTCCGGATTGAATGAAATCCCTGCAGTGTGTTTGAAACATGAACCATTGAACCAGAGTCAATCCACCAAGTATTAAGGGGAACTGATGTGTTCAATGACTCATAAATTACATAAGTGGTTAAGTTACCTTTTTTAGTCAGCCATGCCTTAAACTTAGGACACTCCCTCTGGTAATGCCCTTTGAAACGGCAAAACTTACAGTAGGGACCAGAGTTCACGCTTGCACCTATCTTTGGGACCTTAGAAATGTTACCTTTTCCTCCTCCTTGACGGTTTCCTTTCCTTTTCTTTGAGTTTGTGGTGGTGAGATGAGCAACATCTGGTCTTTCAGCTTTAAGGCGCTCTTCTTCTTGAACACACATAGCAATCAACTCGCTCATTGTCCACTTCTCTTTCTGCGTGTTGTAATTGATCTTGAACGGACCATAAGACGCAGGTAGAGAAGTCATTATGAAATGAACGAGAAAACCTTCACTAATCTCCATGTCCATGCTTTTGAGCTTGTTAGACATATCAGACATCTTCATGATGTGTTCACGAATACCACTCACTCCATCGTACTTATTAGTCAACATTTTGAGAATCAGGGTACTAGCATATGCTTTAGAGGTGCCCTTAAACTGTTCTTCCACATATTCTAGGTAGGTTTTCGCATTTTCAGAGTCAGGAATCGCTCCGCGAATAGCTACTGATATGGAGTTCTTAATCACCATGAGGCACATTCGGTTGGACCTCTCCCACTGTTCATAAGAACGCTTCTGTTCCACAGTGCTTTCATCATTAGGAGCACCTGGTGGATCCATTCTCAGTGCTTGATCGAGGTCCATCATGCCAAGTGAGAGTTTTATAGATTCTCTCCATGTTGAAAAATTTGTACCATTTAGAGGTTCTATCCCATAATTGTGCGGGGTAAAAGTAGATGCTGAAATAAAAGTTTTAAGAGAGGCAATAATAGAAGCTATTCATAATATATAAGGGAATACAATAATGAATGTCAATTATTAGTAAATAAGCCTATTATCAACACCAAATAATAGGAAAATTTATATCGTGTTTAATAACTAACATTGCGTTGGCTAATGCTAACTATCAAACATTATGATATTAAAATTAAAATTAGGCTGCAAATATGTCATATATCACCTTTGGGCAGAAATATAACACATTTTTTTTATGCTTAAATTTCATTACATAAGTTATCAAATAACACACCTTTGGGTTTGTTAAAAGAAAACTCATATAATTAATTGTTTAAGATAGTCAAAATCAATAATCTTCCGTTGGGCCGATCATTAAATTTGACACTAAGACAAAGTTGATAATCCATAACTCAAATATGGCAGAAAGTTAAAGTTGCTGCAATATTAGTCTTATAATATGGATTACGATTAAACATCTTTCAAACTGCTAATGACCAATTTGTCAGTTTCAAATGATGAATATTAATAAGAGCATTTCAAAACTAAGGTTCCTTATACAAAATTACATGTATAGGAATATATCTAAATGTTATCTCCATTCCATAAATAATCAGTTTTAGAGCAACTATACATTCAGGAAACTATTTGCAGAAATTAATTTGTGTTAAGCATTTTAGAATGAAAATAGGTGTCTGCTCTTTATCCTCTTATATATAAAGAAAACAACACACTAATGGAAAGTTTTGATTACTTTTATCTTTATCAACCGAAATGGAGGCAAAAGTTATTCAAATCAAAACTGAAGTGGACATAAGGAATTACGCATCATGCTTTAAATGCTATCAGCACTAATTCATTTCACCTCTTATTAGACGGCAACAGATAAGGAAGAAAAACAAAACATACGACATGTTTATAGTTCAGAGAAAACGAGTCGTAAGTACATAAAAGTTACGGAGTATAAAATTAAACAACTTGAAGAATGCATGCTCGTTTAGAATCGGTTGAAATTCAAATTAAGTAGTTGAGTCAGAGAATTATCGGAATTATCAATCCGGTTTTCACACGCAAGATTATGAACGGGGAAAATTATTGAATCATTTACGCAGATTAAAAACTTCGAATTTTATCGATGTAAGCGAGAGAATTAACGCTCTGATACCAAATGTTGAGAAATTCAGTCCCAATTAAGGATCTAGTCTCACTAAACATGATAAAATTCATATAATCAAACAATAAGAACACTAACCGGTTGAGGAGAAACCAAACTTTGATGACGAAGATGATGAAGCCATGATGTCGTTGGATTCTCTAAGGATACAAGCGGATTTGCGATGGATTGAACGATCTCCCTTGGGTCTCTTAATATAGGTGTTATTGAGACCTTTGGGAAGAAACACGTTCTTTCGTTTTAGTCGTAAGAGGAACGAACGAGCCTTATATCTTGTATCAAAGAGAAACCCCATTGGCCCCTTATGTATTATTTAATGTTAAAACATACCCATCATATGTTAACTGTACATAAATACAGGGACCAAATCTGTCATATGACAAACTTAATGGTAAGACATAAATGTCCCCAATTTATATTAAATTATATAAATGGTCCAAGGACACTTAAATGGAATATTTTCCAACATTAAAATGTTTGAAAGCTTCATTGTCATATATCATACTTTTTGAACTTGAAATGTGTATGTAATGTATTATATATGCTTATAGTAATTACTTATGTATTATATTTGAAAGTAGCGTAAATAGCGGTCATCCCGCTATCCGCTATACCGCTATAGCGTTTTTGGGTCTAGCCGCTCCGCTATCTGGGATTGACAACACTGGTTGAAAGTTATGCATGGTAGTTTACCAATACTATACTTTTAGTGAACCGAAACTTTGGTATATTAGAATACGATATACTAGAATTTCGGTATGATATATAACCATACACGTACAATTTTACATATCTAAAGTTTCAGTATAGCAAAAGTATGAGATACAATATTCGGTGTATTGTACCGAACTACTCTTAATCACATATCTTCATTATTATATATATATACATATATATATATATATATATATATATATATTTATTTATTGGTGATAGTATTACACGGATTACATTATTGTTGTTGAATGACACGTGCATTAAATTATATACAAATCCTTTTTAGCAACATATGAGTTATCATATGTTGTACCCAAGGGAACACATCTACAGGAAAACTACAATAATAATAAGGAGTACTAGCTACTTTTGATTCAAATTGGGATCCGGAGAGTAAAAGCATTATAAGATGGACTGGAAGTTTGGGACAATGGCTATATATTTAATTTATTGTAAAGGCAAGACAAACAACGATTTTAACATGAAAAAGTTATTCTAGACTATAGAAAATAACAAGATTGACACAAATTTTTGGCAGGATTCGTCAAAATTCATAGAAAATTTGGTAATAATGATACACCAAATTCGTGCAAAAAACATTTTGACACGAGCTATTTAATGTGACACAAATTAAGGATGTTTTTACTTAGACTGTAATTTGCCCCAGACCAGTTCAGACCAGACCAGACTTGGATAATTATAAAAATACAAAGAAACCAGACCTTACCAGACCAGATCAGACCAGACCAGACCAGACCAGACCAGACCAGACCAGATCAGACCAGACCAGACCAGACCAGACCAGACCAACAAATTAGGTAAAAACATCCTAAATCATCGATCAATCCCGTAATTTTTGTGTAGCATTAAATTTGTGCTTATCCCCTAATTTTTGTGTATCATTAAAAATCATTCATGTGGCCGGGATTTCGAACATTTCACGTGCTATCCCAAGAAGCATGAGTTGTTCACTTGTTCACACGTACATATAACATGCGAAGTTGGATATACTCCGTAATTCTTTTACTATACCGGCCTGTATTTCTACATACTTCTGTTTAATTTGCAAAATAGAAATATACGAAGTCCGTGGTATATGTCTGTGACTCCTGGCCTTAATTAATAATTTCCCAACTTTTGTTGCTGGTTGTCACCACTCATGCACAATATAATAAATAATAATCACTAACCATATTACTCTACGTATTTAAATTTATTATTCCACTAGCACAGTACCGTGCATACGCACGGGAATAACATTTGGTCTATCTATATTTTTATTCACGATCTAATTAAATATAAAAATAGATTTTTTTCTTACAATTTAATCATTTCAAAAATGGAGTATGATAAGTGAATATAAGAAAGCATAAATCCATGCAACAAATATTCAAAGTAAAAGAAAATTAAAATACATAAAAACCGACATCATCCATTAGAATTTGCTACGTAATAATAATTAATAATGTTGGTAACAGATAATGAAATATTGAACTTAATTGTTAGAGTTTTGTAAAACTACCTTACACAGAACTTTGAGTAGTCTTGTGACTTTCCATATTTTTAAAACTCTCGATAACGTCACACATATAAACCACTACGTATGAGAGAGAAAACTCTTCCGGTCAATTGTTAAAGCTGACTTATCTTATACTTATACTTTTTATTATTATACCTAAAAGTAATTACGTGTGAGAGAGAAACTTTTTCCGCTCAATTCTTTTAGCCGGCTTGTCTTCTTGTACCTAAAACCACTTCGTATGAGAGAGAAAATTCACCCGCTCAATTTTTAGCTGGTTTATCTTATAACCAAAAACACTACTACGCATGAAAGAGACAATTCTCCTGCTCAATTTTTAGCCAGTTTATGTTATGCCTAAAATCACTATGTATGAGAGAGCAAATTTTCCCGGTCAATTGCTTTAGCCCTATCATCTTATACCTGATATAAAAGTACTAAGTATGAGAGAGAGAAATTTCCCCATTGAATTTTTAGTCGTATTATCTTATCTAATACCTAGTCAATGCGTATGAGAGAGAAAATTGTTCCGCTCAAATTTCATCCAGCTTATCCTTGAATCTAAAAACACTTCGTATGTGAGAAGAAATTTTCCTTCCCAATTATTAGTTCATTTATCTTATCGTATACCTAAAAACACTACATATGAGAGGAAATAATTCTCTAGCTTAATTATTAGTCCATTTATCTTTTATATATGAGAGAGAAATTCTACCGCTCAATTATTAGTCCGCTTTTCTTACACCAAAAAGCACCATGTATGAGAGACGGAATTCGCATTGTCAATTATTAGTATGTTTACCTTATCTTATACCTAAAAACACTACATATGTAAGAATAAACACACTTAATTATTAGTTCGCTTATCTAGTCTAGTTTAACTAAAAACACAACATATGAGAGAGAAAATTCTTCCACTCAATTATGAATCCACATATCTTATCTTATCTTATCTTATCTTATCTTATCTTATCTTATCTTATCTTATCTTATCTTATCTTATCTTATCTTATCTTATCTTATCTTATCTTATCTTATCTTATCTTATCTTATCTTATCTTATCTTATCTTATCTTATCTTATCTTATCTTATCTCATCTCATCTCATCTCATCTCATCTCATCTCATCTCATCTCATCTCATCTCATCTCATCTCATCTCATCTCATCTCATCTCATCTCATCTCATCTCATCTCATCTCATCTCATCTCATCTCATCTCATCTCATCTCATCTCATCTCATCTCATCTCATCTCATCTCATCTCATCTCATCTCATCTCATCTCATCTCATCTCATCTCATCTCATCTCATCTCATCTCATCTCATCTCATCTCATCTCATCTCATCTTATCTTATCTTAAATTTGATATTTTTTGTAACATTCAGATGACAAATAAAAAAATTAGGGGACTTTATTTGATTGAGATAAATTAATAGAAATATTAAAATAAAGTAAAAATTAAATTTGACAGTTAATAATAAAAATTATTAAATTTGATGTTTTTTGTAACGATGAGAGTGCAATTAAAAAAAATATAGTACTTTAAAAAAATAGGTGACTTTATTTGATTGAGATAAATTAATAGAAAATCTTAAAATTAAGTAAAAATTAAATTGCAGTTGCTGAAATTTTGTAGAATTAGAATATACAAAGTGCAGATTTGTGGAGTCCTAGTACGAATTACATAGTACGATGGGTTTTATCTATTAGAATTATTATTGTCATCATTATTAGAAATGATAAAACGTTGCCCAAAAAAAGTGAAAAAACGGAGTAAGTAAAATGGCTGGTTCTTTTGCTTCTGTTACAATTACAAAAGAAAAAACTCAATTCCAGAGGAAATAAGCAGCCACGTGGCAATAAAAGATGTGAAGAGAGAATTATGAACAAAGTGACACGTAAGATTAATGAAGGGTGTAATTGTCTTTTGATGAGCTATTTGTTTTCTTATATATAAATAGATTATGAATGATGATGAATGAAAATTAAAACGAATTATTTAGTTACATTCCATGCATATACAATAGGTTGGTGATTATTATTGAGTTTGCAATCCAAATTGGACTTTATACCCTTTTTTTTTTAATCTTTGTTTTTGCACACTAACTCCATATGAAAAGACAAAAATGTCCCTTTATTAACAATTCTGTTGGCCTTCAACATATTCCTGACCGAGAGCATTTTTTGTCTTTTCATATGGGGTTGTATTGCAAACACAAAGATTTTTAAAAACGGGACGCAAAGTCCAATTTAGACAATAATATGGGGTGCAAATTAAAAACTCAAATCACCCATATACAATATTGTCAATATTAATTACAATTACAATATACTGCGTATGTACAAATCTTAAAAACTTATAATAGTCAATGAGGGTTAGGGTAATTTGGGTATGAAAAAGATGTTGGTGTAATCACATGCTAATATGTCCTTGTACCTTGTGCTGAAACGATTATGATATGAGTTAGTTCACCATCTTTCACCCCATTCGATTCCATCATTCCGTTAATTAACCTGAGCCAATAACTTCAATGAGCATCTTCCTTAATAAATCGATACAATAGAGGATTTCAATGGTTAGACCATCAAAGCTCTATGTCTTCTAAGTCTTTTCTTCCTTTGCCTCTATCAATCTTACACCTGTTGCTAGACTTTCGAAATGGTTAGACTATTTGTCTATTTTCCATTTATCTTTGTGCATCCTTTTTATCTTTCTTTCATTATATTGAAATATTGAATGTTAATCCTACGTAAAGAGAACCCCTGAAGTGATTGAATCTGGAAAAACCCCGAATGGTTTATCAAGGATGTTTCTTCCTTGTTACTATAAGGATTACATTGTTGAAATTGAGAAGAAAATCAAACAAGTTTTGTCATTTATAGATTGGGAGTGGAAGTGATGCCAGTATATCTCAACCGGACAATTCTTCGGCTACAGAGCACAACTATTTGCAGGTAGTCAAGATTTTTGAAAGCTATGGCACCTTTAAAATGATAATTATATAAATGAAAGTCTAATTAGTTAAGCAACTATA